AAAAAAAAAAAAAAAAGGTTAAAACTTTTTGAAGAATTTGGTTGGTAGATACAACCGGGGAATGTGATAATTTCAATATTGTTGAAAGAAAATTCTATTTCAAATTGTGGAAACGAGAAATTTACTTTGTCCATCTTTATCCCATTTGAAGACTATAACCACAAATATAATTATAATTATGCATATATACTAATCTTATACAAACATGTATAAGATACGTGCTCAATACTTACACATAACACATTTACACACGTCTAATGCGCGCAAAATATTTGCATACAATCGATGCATTATCACGAATATTACATCCTTTGGATCACTTACTAAATATGTCCTTTTTCTGTCTTTTCTATATTTTATATTTGACGGGTTTTATAATATGAATCAATCAACAACAAATTTTGGATCTTTTTTTCTGTTGTTTAAATAAAAGGATTATAAGGGAATAGAGGTAGAGCTTAAACCCCTGCTCTCTAGGACTGAAAGAGAGACGTGTATTTCATCTTCTGCAGCAGTGATGCTATTTTACGCCAAAAACTTGGGTTCTTGAGTGATTATTATGTGAGATTTATAGTTCTCTTTTTCTGTAAGGGTTTGTAAGATAGAGTTAAGAGAAGGGTGTAATTCTTTATTTTCTATGGCGAATAATGATAAGAAGTAGAAGGCTGCTGAGGTTTATTCAATCCAGTTTTCTCTCTTATTTGCTGTTCTCTGTTCTTACTTGATTTCTGTAGAAGATTGTGTTTGGTGAAATCGCGTGTTGTGCAATCTTGATTGTTTTCTTTGTTCCTGTTGGTATGCACTGGTGTTTAGAATGGAAGAGGTTTGAGTTCTTATTTGGCAATTATATACAGTGCGAGAATGAGCACATAGCTTGCCATAGTTGCTGCTCTTCGTCTTCAAGTAAATGTAAATCTTGTGCTCCATCTGCCAGCTTTAAGCGCTGCCAAATCCTCGAGAAAATTATCCAGTCGCTTGGAGGATCATGCAAATATCTGAAATACGGGCCTTGTTCATGCCCAATCGAGGGCTGCAACTACTATGGTCCACTGATGCAGCTATCCATGCACTTGAGCGGCCAACATAGAGATTCTATCACATGCTTCAGGTACAATAAGTTGTACTCCATTACCTTGAGATATGACGAAAGGTTCTGCGTTCTTCAAGAAATGAGTGATGGAGACATATTTCTGGTCGACAATGTCGAACATGATATTGGGAATATGGTCAGTGTTAGCCGGATAGGACCTTACACGTTTATCAGTCCCTTCTCAATTGAACTTAAGATTGAAGCTGTCAAATGGGTCCACTGGGATCAACTCTCACTGAGGCTTTCGTGTAAAATAGAAAGCATTCGCAGCCGGGTAGGTTACCAGCCTTCAACCAGAGACTTTCTTCTTGTTCCAAGTGGATATTTTGAAGGGGGTGAGGAATTTGAGTTGCTGTTCCGCATATCTCGTGCTGACGTCTGACTCGGTGGATTTCCCTTATGGATTTTGTTTTAGTTTCACGTTCTACAGATGTTCTACAGACATTTTTGTTTTGCAGCAAATGTATATGGATGACATAACTAGTAGCAGTTCTGAATGACCATGGAAGTTTTTTGTTTATGCTGGTATCTTAGCTATGGAGATTTGGTCTCAAATACTCTCTTTTCTTTTTTGATAATTTCAAAGTATGCAGTTAACTTATAGGCGATTATGATTTCTAACCATGCTATTATTTCAAGAAAATTTTCTTGTAGCCAAGTATGAATTAGGAGTGTGGGAGTATGCATATGGTGGATTATTACATTAGGATTGTCAGCCCAAAAATAAGGCATTAAGCATGTGCCTTCCTTCAGATTCAGGGGACAGGGATGTATTCTATAGTCCTTCTAATCCGATAACCCGTAAGGTTTTATCTCTTTTCTTTAAAAAAAAAGAAAAAACTAGGCAAGGTTTACCCCTCTGTTTAGAATGTTGGATATCAAGTAATATTTTGAAATGAAATTTGCATGTACGAAACTGACTAGTCACCAGTGTTTTGTGTTCTAAAAAAGACATGGAAAGTAGCAAATAGTTAGGAATAACAAATGAGCAAGTTAAGGATCATCTTTGGGGACTCCAAGAGTGTTTAGGAATCTTTTCTATCTCATTGTAGAGCATCTTTTCTATCTCCAAGACAGCCATCTTGCTTAATTTGACATGGATAGTAACCTAAATAGTAAAAAAAAAAAAAAAAAAAGAACAAATCAATTCGGTGACATTAGAACGAATGTGCTGCGGTTCTTATTTCTCGTCGTTTTTGTTCTTTTTGTTTGTTTACCAATTCGTTGTCGTTTTGATTATTCTGGCTTTGCTAGTTGTCGTTATTTTCAGTGTATTGTCATTTTCGTATCCAAATATTCTTGCCCTTTCCCAATACAAATTGTTTTTTTATGCATTTCGAACGTTTTTGAATGTTGTTTCCTTTCTTTCTTTCTTTTTTAGTTTGATTTTGCTGGAAAGGATGTTCTTTATACTTTATGTTACGTTCTCATTTTCCTTCCAATAAACATGTTATCGTTTTCATTTATTGTCACTTCTAATTATTTGAGGTTTCTCAATTTTTAATATAATTTTCAATTTTGTTGACTTTTGTAAAGCTCCGTTTGGTTGGAGGGATAGAGAGTACGAATGATGGAAAGAGTTAGAAGGATGAAGAGTGTAATCTTTCTTGTTATTTAGTTGGATATAGAGAGAGTTGAAAAGATAAATGATAATTATTTATTTAATTATTATATTATCCATTTTGTTATTTTTTAATAATTTATTTTGGAGGATGGAAAAGTAATTTTAATTTTTATTTGAGTGGATTAGTCAATGGAAGGATTCAAAACTCCCTCCATATCTTATCTTCCTCCTTACCAAACTAAGAATTTACCCTCTCTCTCCACCACTCTTCGTAGTTACTCCTACCAAACATATCCTATATCCTGTGGTGATTTTGCCAGGTCATGTCCTACAAACCTGAAAGCTAAGCGCTTTTTTTTTTTTTTTTTTTTTTTTTTTTTTTTTTTTTTTAAACGAGAAAACAGGTTTTATTTTAAAGTTTGACTGTGGTTAGGACTCTTAACATAAACTAGGATTAGGATTGTCTGCCTATAAGTAAGGCATTTACCTTAAAGCTTCACATAGCAATTTCATTCCAAGATTTCCATGAGCCTTCTGTTCCGGTAAGTTCCTATTTCTTTATAAGAATTTAATGACTAATGTAGATAGCGTTTTAATGAGATTAAATTTTTGTTTGCTTAGTCTTTTACTTAAAATAGGATTCTTGAATATATTTTAATTAAGTAATTTTCTTTCCAAAAAATAAAAAAGCCTAGTGTTATGTTCTCAAAAAAAAAAAAAAAGAAAAAAAAAGAAAAAAGAAAGTAATAAAAAAACATATAATCAATGACGGGAGAAGTTTTCTTCTGCTAGTAATTTTGTC